ATATCCCCTCAAAATTCCAGTCTTCTAGCTTCTCAGCTTCTCGAGTAATTAACTTACCCGGAAGGAGCTTTTCACGGGCCTGTACGTAGGTGCCACGCTTACCCGCGGGCAGGGTTTGAACTCGTTAATACCTACTTACACAGGAAACACCCCCTAAGATTCCAGCTCTCTAGCATCTCAGAACCCCGAGTTATGAAATTACGTGGGAAAAATTTTGGGGGGCTCGTACGCGGGTACCACGCTTACCCGGGGGCTTGATTTGAGCTAATCAGTACCTATACATTCCCATAAAATTTCAGCTCTCTAGCATCTCAGAACCCCGAGTTATGAATTTACGCGGGAAAATTTTTGGGGGGTCGTACGCGGGTACCACGCTTACCCGGGGGCTGGATTTGAGCTCATTAGTACCTATTTGGGCGGGGGTATGCGGGTACCACGCCTACCCGGGGGCTGGATTTGATCTCATTAGTACCTACTTGGGCGGGGAACGCCCATAAAATTTCAGCTCTCTAGCATCTCAGAACCCCGAGTTATGAAATTACGCGGGAAAAATTTTAGGGGACTCGTACGCGGGTACTACACTTACCCGGGGGCTGGATTTGAGCTGATCAGTACCTATTTGGGCGGAGAACATTCCCATAAAATTTCAGCTCTCTAGCTTTTCTGGTTCGCGAGTTATCAGCTCTCTTGTCACTACAACCTGCCAGCAGCAATGCAACATTTTCCAATACTACAGCCTTCCCCGTAAAAAACTTTGGCGGGGTCTTACGGGGGTACCACGCGGGAAAGACCGCCCATTTTGGAGATAGGGTTCCCCGTAAAAAACTTTGGCGGGGTCTTACGGGGGTACCGCGCAAGACCGCCCATTTTGGGAATAGGGGCCCGTACGTGCATGTAGATTAAGCCCCCAAAGTTTCAGCCTCGTAGCTTTTGCCGGTCTCGAGATGAAAAATCGGTACAGAGGCCCAGCGTACATATAGACGCACACACATAGACACACACACACAAACACACACACAAACACACAAACACACACACACAAACACACAAACACACACACACAAACACACAAACACACACACAGACAACCTCCCGTCAATATGCGTTTTTATGCGTGTTTGCCGTGCAGCGCTAGAGCGCAACAGGCAGCAAAAACGCATATTGCAACGACCCTGTGTGTGTGTGTGTGTGTGTGTGTATGTGTCGTGTGTTCGTCTGTCCGGGTGTTTCAACTCGCCAACCACGCAAGCTTTCAGGCTGAAATTTTGCCAGTGTGTTCCCTAGGCGGGTGCCACCCCAGGACCGCAGTTTCGACCCTCACGCACGTCTGGGCCCCGCATACGAGCACGTGAGAGTTTTGGCGTGAAAACTGCTAAATCGGGGACGAGAAAAGCTAGAAAGCTGAAAT